ATGGCATTCCAACTGTTTTTTGACATCTGTAATTTCAGAGGTTGCCAATGAACAGATCAGGGTCAAGACTGACTTAAAATATTTTAGTAAGAGGCAGAAAGAAAAATGAGATCCTAGCTTTCTAGTCCCCTGATCTACACATCTCCATTCATGAGCTGAAGCTATGTGGGTATGAAATTTGGTATGGAGGCTTAGGCTACTTGAGTACCTTTTATCCCATAATAGTTGTGGAATGTGAAGATCTGAATTTTCATTGGGGCTCTCAATAAAATTTCATGGCCAACAATGGATTTCTTAAGGCCTTGTCATTTCAAATTGCGATGAGGTCTGGTTATTGCTATTGTAAAGGTGTATATGAACCTGACTTCCAATGAACTTCCTGCAGTGGTGCTAACATATCTTGACACTCTTGCTGACAATTCTAGTGGCCCTTAACATGGGCTACTTTTCTGTAGTCACAGCACCAATTTTGAGGAGGAGTCAGCCTAAATTTTAGGGTGAATATCTATAGACAAGAAATATATTGGCTTTAAAAATTAAGAGGTTTGATTCTGTTTTGAATTTGGATATCAAATGAATCTGAGCACATGACATTTTAATGCCGTTTGTCTTTTCAAATAGATTTACTTTCTTAATGCATGTGACGACAGGACTTTGCTCATCAGCTAGAACATACATTTCAAAGGAGTTGTTACCTAAAATATTATCATAAGGCATAAGAAAACACACGATTTAAGTTGCCTTTCATGAACATAATTAAGAATTAATAAGCTAGTACCAGTGGCTAGTCCCTAGAATTTCCACTGTTTTGCCTTTTGTGACCTGTGTTATTAAAAGTCCATTATTTTTACAGACTTTATTAAATTGGATCTTATTAAAGCATTCTATATTTGCATTTGGTCTTTCATAATTCATTATTATTATGACATTTACTTTTTACCATCAGATCTGAAAACATATCATAAGCTACCCTTTTCTCTTGAAAGAAATGCTAATTTCAAACAGTCCTCTAATAGAAGAGAAAAGCTTTATCAGTTTTTTCATTTATTCCGGATCGTGTTAAGAATACTAATGCTAGACTTCGGTATGCTAATATCTGTGAGCTTTTTTGGTCAAAAGCTTAGAATTATTATTTTTATCCCATAGTAAGTAGGAAACTACAAGACCTGCTACTACAGAGAAAACACTATTCTATAGTGTAATTCTTAATTTTAAAGACTTGTGAAAATGTTATCATTGCTCAACCTTGTTTCTTAGGAGGAATCTACTCAATTTATCTCTGTGCCACACCATATTGTTTGTCTTATTTAAGAAATTCACTCTTCTTTAAATTCATTTGATTTGTTTTCTTATAGTTTATGCTGGTACAGCTTGCAATGTTTAGGACTGAGAATCCTGTGTTGTCAGTCCCAGTCGGTGTTTAGAATATGTTTCCTGCTTTCTCGATAATCACACATGCTTTAGTTTAAAAATCAATGTAGCAAGATTTTATATACAGATATCAGGCTTGTCTAGTTTTAACTAATTAACCACGGACTAAATTTTGTGCTGGGGTTCTAGTATAGTTATTAAACTCCAAAATGAAACTTACTTTGGATTTTATCTCCTTTTAGATTTCTGACAATGTGCAATAGACACTTTGGCAGTGTTGTTGCACAAACCATTCGCACTCAAAAAACAGATCAGTTTCCACTTTTCCTGATTATTATGGGAAAGCGATCATCTAATGAAGTATTAAATGTGATACAAGGTAAAGTACATGTAATGATCTGATCATTTTTATTTTTCAAAGCTTACTGTGATTCCATTTCTTCTAAAAAATAATTATGCATTTGAAAATAATAGACTATTTTGAGGGAAGATCACCTGCCAAAATATATAGGTCTTATGAAAAATGAAATTCACTACTTAAAACCCAATAGAAACTTCCTAATAAATTTGCACAGCCCATAGGACATAGATATTCAAGTTAGTTATTCAGATTTGTTATATTCTCTAAACTGGTGAATTTATTTAGGCAATGATCAGCTGTCAAATATGACATTTATTATCTATATATAGATAATTGATTTCTTGCTATAATATTGGTTACTTGAAAGGAATGCTTATCTTCAGTTGTCTAGAAAAATCCAATGGCTAAATATCACAAATCAGATAGCATGCAGTACATTGTTTATCCTTTTAGGGTGAGTCCATGTTGAGGGTGCAACACTGAGGTGTGAGGCTGTAAGATATAACCAGTAGGCACATTCTACACGCAAAGATAAATGAATAGTTTTTTTAATTTTTTTACTGTTAACTAATGTACCACTACCACCTCTCGTTCACAGCCCTGCCTCCACCATGCACCATCCCCCAGTTTTTAGACCCTTTCAGAGAATCAACAGCGTCAAAATTATTTTCATAATAATACTCAGCTGTTATTTGCCTCTTATACTGGGCTGCCTTTTCACTCGTGGTGTAAAAGCAATGGTGTATGTAAAGCAGCTGGCATTTTAGCACTGATTACGGCCATGGCAAAAAACTGTACTCATAGGCATGACATCATATCTTCACCACCATGTACTTACAATGAAAAAGCAAAGAGAGAAAAGGCCATTTTAGAATGCCATTAATGAAGCACTAAATTAATATTTTTACTAAATCTCAACTTTTTAAATAGTTTATGTAACAGGACATGTGCTTAAAGCAATTATACTGAATACCAAAATATTTGTGTGGTGGCTTCAGTTTTGAGCTGCGATTTTTTAAACCAAAAGTCATTTTTATTTGAAAATATAACTGACAGATAAGCTATGGTCAAGTAGCCTGGGCAGATAGTTTTTCCAGAATGAACAAAATAAATCTGTCACTTGAAGAAAAATAATTAACAGTATTTGCTGTCAGTGTTATAAGTAGAGTGTTCCAAAGAAAATGCATATCTACCACCATAAGATTACTGCTTTCATATTTTTAAGATATTAATAAAAGTGATACTTTGAGTACCATATATACTCGAGTATAAGCCGACCCGAATATCAGCCAAGGCACCTAATTGTACCACAGAAGCTGCATTAAAAATGTGCTGGGAAAACTCAGCTTATACACGAGTCCAATCGGCATATGCTCTTTTATGTCAACATTAAGAAGAAATATATAACTGAGTGAGTCAGTATTTTTTAAATGACCACAGCATATTATAAAGTCATGCACTAGCAAAAAAGATCCATTCAAAGTACAAAATAGACCAATGGATTTTAGCATAGCCAAGTTCACTGATACGGCTTCAAATTCCTCCTTGCAACATTAAACACACACATATTAGTTTGAGTTAGTATCAAAGAAGAATATCCACAGTTATCTATTAAAACACTCCTTTTAACAGAATTGTATGTGAATGGATATATTGGATTATGTAAGATATGGCAAAAATAAATTAAAAATAAGGGATCCTGGAATGTAGGGAATGGGAGGAAGGGGATAAAAGGGAGCTGATATCAAGGAGTTCAAGAAGAAAGAAAATGTTTCGAAACTGATTGTGGTAGCAATCATTTAATACTGCTTGATGTGATTGATATCTGATGTTATCAATGAAGATATCTGTGTTATGTAAGAGCTCCCAATAAAATGACTTTAAAAATTTTTTTAAATCCTTTTCCAACTACATATTTCTATGAGGCCAGCTTTTCTTGATGAATTTCAGCCAAAGCAACAATATTATAATCTATGTAAGGTAAAAACAGATCTAAAAATGTAGATATCTAATATTAAGCTAAACATTGTAGATATTTACATATTTATTTGCTAAGGACCACAGATGTTCCCTAATGTCATGCTGCCAGCGGTTATAAGAAAACATTGGGGAAAGGACCATCAGAAGATCATATAGTCCACCCTTTCGCAGGAAAAGCACAAGCTTAAGTTCTTGCAGTTCTTTGGTCTTCATTTCATTAATGAGTCATGAATACCCTCTTTGCTGACCCTGGAAGAAGTCTCACTGTATCTGCTTATAGTTTGAGAAGAGAGAGTTGATATATATTTAGGTATTCTTACACATTGTTTTTTTTTAACTGCATCCAAAGCAAATAACAAGGACTTGATATATTTAGAAAGTGAAATTTTGACTTACAGAATAAAGTTACACTAGGGGAAATGGAGCTTTTAAAATACCTAATTTGTCTAGTAATGTGAAAGTAACTTGATAGAGCAAAATATAAATTTGGCAGGAAAATATAGAAAATTATTTCTGAAATAAATTTTGTTTCACCAGGAAATTTTTAGTGACAAGAGAATCTTAATTAAAGAACATTATAGTAAAGTGGCGCTTGATTCACACCCAGGTGGTTTCAAACCCTGGCCCACCACTTAAACATCTTACTTTGGGTGGGCCAGTTTCTTCAGCTCCCTAATTCTTGGTTTTCTTTTCTATAAAATCAAAATGACAGCAGTATCTTCATATTAATTGAGATAATATATGTAAAATGCTTTTTTTCCTCAGTAGTGTATAAACAAATGGTAGTTGCTGGGTTATTAAATAACTAAATTTTGGTAACTTAAAAAGAACTTTTGGTATTTATAACTTGGACAGCCTTTACAATGCTATAAATACTAATTTAAGAGATTGCTCCCTCAAATGTGAATATTCTGAAATTTCAATTGCCAGTATACTGCTTTACTCTTACTGAAACATGTCAATGAAAATATTACATTATTTTAATTAGATGTTAGCATACTGGCCTGTGTATTTTTAGATGATAGTTATTTCTTTCTGATTAATTCTAGAATGACTGTCCATTTTTAAATAACTTTAATAATGTGAAATTTGACAATGTCCATATTTTGCTAGGAAACACAACAGTGGATGAATTAATGATGAGACTCATGGCTGCAATGGAGATCTTCACGGCCCAACAACAGGAAGACATAAAGGATGAGGTAAGGTCAAAGGCTAAGTAGGATTTTGGTGAAGTAATTTGTTAAATGATGATACATACTTCTGTCATGATGGATAAATAAGGATTATGGGGGTATATTTCTAGATTAACCAAGATTTGTTATGCCAGGAATCAAACCATTCTTTTCATGACCCCAAGAGCCAATAATTTGTTTAAAGTTATAGACTACTTATCCTTTTATAGATTTGAGATGCTAATGAGAGGTTGATTGATTTGCAAGAAACAAATTATAGAGCGCCTCCACAGTCTGAGGAATGTCAACTATTCAACATAGAGGCGGAGGTCGACAAACTGGAACTGATGTTCCAGAAAGCTGATTCTGATCTGGACTGCATTCTGTACATGCTGGAATATGAAATCAAGAACAGTTATCCTGATTCAACTGGTGAGAAAAATCCAGTTACGCTCTTGAAGGAATTGTCAGCTATAAAGTCTCGCTATCAAGCTTTGCATACACGGTTTAAATCAGTTACTGCTGGACAGAAAGATACTAAGAGTCACATTTGTGTTACTTTGACTAAGACTATGACCATGATACAAGAACTACAAAAGCTAACAGACCTGGAGCTGCCACCATGGACGGAGGAAGGGAAAACTGCGGAAGACCAATTAAAATCTCACATGACAAATTTGTAAAGAAATGGACTTGCAAAAGGGAACTCTAAAGGAGGTCAATTCCACAGTACTTTAGGAAGCTGTTTTAACACTTG